TCATTTTTGGCGGCAGGATGCGCGCGTTCAGCCAACTGAGCCGCAGGCGCACTGGCGAAACATCCTTCAGACTCACATTATCTATGTCAAACGTTTTCGCTGTGTACCCTCTCTTTTTGTTGGGGGTGATGCCGCCGCGTGAGAGCGAAAAAGTACTGCATTATGACACTGACTAATGACAACAGAGAATTCTACAGTACTCTGAACCCTTTGGTGCCACAATGACAGCACTCTAACTGACGCTAGCACCAGAGCGGCCTACCGACGCCGCCTAGGTGGCGTTGGTTCTATTATAAAGAAAGTTTAGTATTGCCTCATCAATAATCACCAACAAGGTTTCTGGGACTGATTTTGCGGGCCCCAAACGCGTTTTGTAGTTTCAATGTGACGCGCTGATTTCCCTCGTTGATGACGCAGATACGTGCTTCGTCTTTTGTGTTGAGCTGGCATGTGCAGTGTAGTGTAGCTTCCATGTACAACACATGTGTATCTCTACGATCTACTGACACGAGTGCGATGGTACCGACTAAAAGAACGTTTGCGTGAAGCGCAACTGAAATACAAAGGCGTCGACGGGCGAATGTCTCGCAAGTAAGTTCAGCGCAGCGATGGACAGGCCAGACGGGAGCGGTAGGCTTTAGCGCCTTCGAAACTCAAGCTGATACCTCTGCCTCTTGCGTTTGTCAAATTGAGCGAATCGCGACCCGACTGGCTGCTATACAGCCACCGGTGCAGGTATGAACTGATTGTAACTTCACCGAAGCAACCTATATCAGCAGGACGATACACACTCTAAAAAAACAGCGAGTAAAAAGGGCGTCTTTTTGTCCCACAGCAATAATCGTCATCTATATTGCGTTCCATCTCTGCGCTATCGCCCCGCGCCTGGTACATTCTGGTCACGATCGACATGCGATTTATCAGGGTTATATTGCATTCTTGATAGGAAAGTGCCCAGCGCCGAATTTTCAAGAAAGGAAGCGCACGCAAGCCTGATGACGATTATTGTTGTGGGACAAAAAGACACCCTTTATACTCGATATTTTTTTAGAGTGCATGCCAAGCACATATCCGCAGGACCGTTGCTAACCCGTGAATCACGCTCCCGTACTAAAGCTGATAGTGAGTTGGGAAACAATGAAGTGAAAAGCCATTCACTTTCGCTGACAAGGTTTGGTATTGCTTGTGGTTCAAGTGTGATTTGCGCGATGCGCCACAGCGTGCAGAGTCATCTTCGCGGAGGGCTTGCGATATGCTATAGCTGCCACTACAGTAAAGTCATGATCATGGCATTTTGTCTTCGGAATGAAAATAATACACTATATGCGTCCACGTGGGTGAATCCAGGTTAAATGGTGTCATAGCTTTCAAACACCAATACACACAGTACAAGCTTTCACACATCAGTGCACAATAAAACATCCCTATCACTGTGTATTTACACGTCTCATTTTCGTTTTAACCTATTCCTACGATGGAGAAATCAAACGTGTATTTTTTGTGGTGTCTTGTATCTTAATTTGTCTAGAGATATGAACTAGCACTGTAACTAACGGGATTAGACTAATGAAACTTTTAATTAGCGGAGACTGGCAGCCTGGTTAAATGGGATAATAAACCTTTTTTTCGCAAACAGCTCTTTGCCTTTTCGAGAACAGCAAAGGTTGCTTTTGATAATTAAATGGTAGTAATGACATATGTCCAAATTTACTGGACTAGCTACGCTGGTTTAGGGGCTATGGTGTTCGACTGCTCACCCGATGGTCGCGGGATTATTGAATCCCGGCCACGGCGGCTATATTTTCTAAAGAGGCGGAAATGCTAGAGAACCGTATATATATATATAAATATATATATATATATATATATATATATATATATATATATATATATATTATAAATTTCGCAGTAAACTGAAACTAAAGCGCACATGAGAGCGACAAGCAATATGGTCGTGCAGAACAATGTGACTGTTCACGACAATCACTGGAGATCTATTAGTGGATTAACATATGTTCATGCATTTGCGCCTAGCGAGCTACATATGTTTGCAAGCACAGCCCGCGCACCCACGTAACAAAATCTATCATTGCTCGATGAAACAACTCTCACTGATTCCGTATGCCTCGAAAGAGCATGGCAGTAGCACGCTTCTGAAAAACGCCAAACGACCTTTATTTCAAAACTACGGCGTAAAATATTCGACAGGACAAAAATATTCTACAATAACCAAGAAAAAAGTGTTATTTGATTTGACAATGCATGTAAGTGATTCCTAAATGAAAAGAAGATATAATTGAGCCCCGTAATTGTCTTTCAGGGGGAGGACACCTCAACAGTAGCTCACGAGGGGTGAGGTTAAGGAGGGATTAAAAGGATAGGATTAAAAGCTAAAGAAATAGAGAGAGCGGAAGGAGAGAGCTAGGCGCAAGGAGAGCCACATACGGAAGTAAGGAGAAAATAGGAAAGATGGACACGGTCGCAGGAGTCCTAGTCAGTCAGAGCTGCACTGTCATTGGAGATCGCAAGGGCGCAACCGGTTGGCACAAAATCCAGTGAGCAAGTGTTCGATTTAACAAGCTTATTTCACCTTGTACATGACGCTTGAGTATCTGCAGTGTTAATGTCAGTTTCTCTGCTTATCTGTGCAATTTTCTTGCCGCGTATACGAGCTACAAAAAGGTAAAAAGAATAATATCTTTAGGGGGATTAAATCATAGAAAGCCAAGAACGAATATAACACATTTGTTACAACACTCGGCAAAGCATAAGTTAAAGTGGGAACGTAACTAACGAATATGTAGCATGCCTGAATGAGCGATGCAAAAAGTTAACTTGAATGGGCATTCTAAATAATATATAGTAAATAAAACTAACAAGAAAGCATAGCAGCTGTGCCGTAACTCTTACTCCTTACCAGATAAAAATATAAGTTGAAAGGCCATAAAATAGGTATCACAAATGCGCTTTCTTTTTAGTATATCGTCTCTAAAAGCATATACCGTTCAAGGAAGTACCCGCACTTGATTGGTAGTTCTTCAGTTGAATTACGTCCCTCAGTGCTACATCAGCGCTGAAGGATGAAGGTTACGCGCGATTCATCTCAGAGTGTCACTTAAACCACGCGATGACATGATAGGTGAGGCGAAATAGGTTTTTATATTTTTAGAATGCGCGCCTCCAAGGATCGAAGGAAACAACAAAATGGTGAAGGCAGGAAGGTTATCTCGAAAGACATCTGGTTGACTACCCTACACTGGGGGACTAGGGAAGAGAACAAGAATGTTGAGAAAGGGGAAAGAGAAGGAAAACTGACCCAAAACTTAAGGGAACGCTGACACATTGCCTACTGTCATGTCTCTCCAGCTCTCACTCACTGACCTGTTGTAGACTGAATTACGTCGTTTTGTTACCCAATATCTTTGCGAAAATAAAATAGCTTTATTACGTTACGCAGCCATTGAAATGGACATAACTGATAGTCATGCGTAAAGAACAAAAGAAACAGAATGGTTATCCGAAAACTTGGCTTCCATAATTGCTGTATACGTAATTTTGCGAGTTAACACTGACCTTTACAGCCGTAACTTAAATCTTTGTCTTGCGGCATGTTATGCCGTTATTTTACCTGAAAACATGCCAAAATATTCCGTGCACTGTAACTATTCAGGAGAACTTTTTCGTTCTTCTGTTGTGGAGCGATAAAGCGCATGACGAAAAGTGCGCTGAGGCTGCCCGCAAACTACAGTAACACAATTCACGAAACCATCAATAATTGTGGAAAGAGGAGGCGAGACAGAAGGTGAAAACATCTAGCAAACGTCAGCGAAGGCAACGCACGTGTTCTAGTAGTACGAAAAGTAACAACAACAGCAACGCTAATAATAATAATAATAATAATATTAATAATAATAATAATAATTATAGTTGTGGTTTGAATTCTCACAACCAAGACGTGATTATGAGAGACGTGGAGGGCTCTGGAAGTTTAGATCACCTAAAGTTCTTTGACATGCACCTAAATCTAGATACGCGGGCCTCAAGCATTTTCGGATCTTTCGATAATGCGCTGCTGCAACAGATATTCGATGTCGCGACTTCCTGGTCAGAAGCCAAGCACTGCAGCGACTGGACCACTATGACGGGTCATTTTGAAAAGCAAGAAGATCGTTATAGAAACGGCATGCTACAGAAATATTTTAATACAGTGTAATAAATCTCCCTTGGCTATCTAATTGTGACGAAAAAAAGGAGCCGTCATGCATAGTCGTTCCGTTCTATTCTCGTTGCGACGTTTGAAAAATGGTCTGTAGGCCTGCGATCCAATAAAAAGAGCTTGTTCTGATGAAGATTGGGTCGTAGAGATAATTAAACGTTAAAATTTATCTACTCCTCTACTAATATTATCAGCCAAGTACAAGTGGAAAACATTATAGGTCCATCGTATCGGTTATGCAAGATTACTGTGTTCGACTCCTTCTTAAGCTACCGTAAATAGACCTAATACACACAGTTGTCGTTTTGGTATACGCTTAAGTATTTGATTACGAAACGGCGTCTAGAGTCGTAACAAGCTCGAGGCTGAGTGCCAATGTGGGAGGTTCGTTCAGGAAACACCTATAAGGATACGTACACGAGTCAATAAGGCACAATTTTTAGAAACATTCAACATGCAGAAAGAAACTTGAGCAGCAAATGCATTCAACTGTAAAAAAAGAACGCGTAGCCGGAGGAAATGAACACCAGCGTGCCAGAACTGCAGCCGGGCATGTCGACAGCTGGTTCCCGCTGTCGAACGATGCGCCCATCGTGTGGCGCCATGGTGGGTTTGCAAGCGGCGACTCGTCCGCAGCAACCACCCATCTGAGAGGGTGGGCTAGTTTGGTGCTCGCGCTCCATGTAAATCACTTCCCAGCGTGTCAGAGCGAAAGTGGCGACGCGTGTGCCGCCGTATAAAAGGATAGGCGACAAAATATTCGGCGACAAAATTTCACCGACGGTGCTCTTTGGAGGTGGTTACCACAGAAACAGCGCTCATCGTGTTCGGAAAGCAATGCGGTTTCTTACGGTAAGTGGGAAGTGCTATAGATGTAACGGTTAGGCGAGCTACCAGGAACTACTAAAAGGAATGCCTCCACTTCCTGGAAATAGAAACTCAACAACTTATTAACGTTTCGTTAATTTGTATGGACCCATAAGTAATACTTCAAACTTACAGCAGTCAACACTTGTCTCTATATTTTAAGTTAGTAATTTAGTTACAGCGGCATTAGCCGGAATTCTCGCCATTATTCTTTTGAAAGACCTGGTCGACGATAGCTCTGCAGGGCTACCGATATCAACAATCAGCCAATAAATGTAGACTGCACCTCCGGTGTTTGCACGCAACACCTATGATTGGTTTTATAATGTTAACGAAGGATTTGCGGGCAAGTTCGTTTACGATAGCTTATGACAACGCACATAAAAAATAAAGGCAAAATGGGCACTTTGATACAGATGAGGACGTTGGTGCTTACGTCTTCATCTAACTTTATGTGTCCGTTTCAATTTTGTTTTCGATGCACGTTCCCATGTGCTACCGTGTAGCTTAAATGACCACCATCATGCGTGTATCCACGTTTCTGGAAATTGTGTTGTTCTTTTTAACTTGCTTGACAAATTAAACTGTATTTTTAGTCAAATTCTTTAAGCTTTGAAAACAATTATTGCGTCTACAATTTTATTGATTTGAAAATACACATTGGTAGTATGCGGCATCACTGGTGGCAAACATGAAGAATAGCTGGCGAAGGAAGCATGGCTGAATACTTGATTCAAGTAAATTTGCCTTGAATGTAGTCAATTTGGATCGAATATGGCGTAAATGACTGAGATCATTAATATATTTTATTTTTAGAGAGTCTGGAGTGAATTCATAAAAAAACGTAAAATACGTTCATGCAGATTATCCTTTTAATTTGACATTCCACTTTGCGCATATCCAAAACTGATGATGAGCGTACACAACAAATCTACGCGAGCTACAGCCTTTTGTAAAAGTCTATAACTGCATCACATTCAAGAAAAAATGACATTGTTTTGTTTCTTTGTTGTCTGTGTATATTTCTGACCCATAGTTAGGCTAAGCACAGCCAGTTCAACAAATTTACACCTAACGAAAATATATTTTGTACCAACGCGATCCTATAAATCATTGCAATTCGTATGCTTCACATTAGCGGACTTGCACTTGGCAGTGGCAAATTGCGTTCAGAAAATGTAGCATGCGAGCCTATAAAAACAAGTATTTCAATTTCAATTCAGTTTGGTATTATCCATAAAATGTTCGCCAAGAATCATGCTAAAATGTTATGAGAAATTGCTGAGAATTTGAAAAGGTACCGATTGATTTCGCTTTGTCCGAATGGTGCGCACATAACTTAAAAGTTACAAAGGACCGGCCAAACACCACTCTGATGTTATGCTCTGACTTCCTTCCTCGTGGCTTTATTAAATTTTTTTGTCCATTGCAAGTGTACAGGGGAGTTTTTGTAAGGCGTAGTCGTCTCCGAAAATGGTGACGACTTCTGTTTTTTTCATTACTTCAATAAAAAAATAATTTAAACTTTATAGAGTAGCAAGCTATCCTAATTGGCCATGCTGTAATTTTGACAGAAACTGTGGTGCTAGAGGTGACCTACATGTCACAAGTTTGCCTCTTGCAAGCCTCTATTGACGCATAAACTGAAGGCCTCCAGTTTAGCGTCTAACTTGGGGTAGCATGAAGCAACTAAATGAATGATTTTGAGAAAATGGTAGATAAGGAGACACAAAAAAATTTATAAGTTAGTCATAAGCCTTACATTAGGTGATATAGCACCCTAATCAAAGGTGATTTGGGGCATAAAGACGACAGCAAAAACAGATGAATCAGTTGTAAAAAGAACGCCAAAACTTTCTTCAGAACTCAGCTCAAAGTTTTTGTCGAAGTTTGCAAACAGAAAAAAAGTTTAAACTTTTGAATATGCTCAGTTATAAGCAATTGTGAAATTACACTGTGGTGCTTTACCAAAATATCAGGCGACCTAATGAGTACTGTGTAATAACATAGTGCCAGTTCTGGTGGTAGGTGATATAAAAAGTGAGTTTAGCCTGGCAAACTAATAAATATTGAGCGTTCATGCATCACCAGTTCCCTGACGTATATCCTGCCAATAATAAATCTGAAGTGAGATGAAAATTGTTCGTGCATACGCCGTGTTAAAAAAATGCATAGAAACTTACTTCCTTGAATTTGGTCACTTCTTTGCTGTGCTAAAAAAAACGTGCGACGGAGAAAATAATTACTTAGAAGTAAGTGCGGAAAGGACGTAAAGCTAAGTTGATGCCACCAAATGAGCACAAAAAGTTACTTTCTGTTTTATTTCCCGTGATTTAGTTCACTATCCAAAGCGTGATGAAGCATCCCCTGACCATATTTAGTGACCCAGATTCAGCAGCATTAATCTTGGCAGAGAGCCATAATGAAGCACACTTCCGTTTGGTTTTAGGGCACAGCTATCCTGGGACCTCGGTATGCTGAAGGTTTGGTATCATTTAGAAGATGAAGTGCACGCTGAGAGATGCTTTACATTGAATATGTATCGGTGGCGTGTATGCACTCGATACTCGATAAGAAGTCCATAAAATTTAACTGCAATGTAGTAAGAAGTAACGGATAAGATACGAGGAGTGAACCAGAAAATATGTAGTTGTATTGTAGAAGTATGTGGGCTACGAGGTGCACTAGTTATTCAATGAATCGCAACATCACGCATGCACCACCTCGGCTTAAGTTTCTTATGCGTAGCGAGAATAATCAGACTAATAGTGTCATGCGATTTGTGCAAAAAGTCAGTGGGTGTGCCTGGTGAAGCATTCAGTGCCGTTTGTTCTTGTCGGCGAAGAGTGCATTGTTCGGTAGCTAAGCGCTTCTCCCGTTCGCTTGCGTGCGGTGGGGGTCGAATAATGTAAGGAGTCGATTCTTATCATACTTCTTTTTTGTTAATCAATGTTACTATTGATTTTTCATCCAGATTATCTCAAGAATAGTTGAAATGACCATAAATCAGTAATAAAAACAAAATATTGGAGTAAATTAAGCCATAACATCAAGCAGATATTGACCCTGGTTTGTATAGTACATTTCTTGTTTTCGCGTTGCTCGAAGTACTCCTTCGCAATCCCTTTTTGTCTCTGCACTGGTTAACTAACCTTTCAAAGACGTACTACCAATTTCAACGCATGTGCCGCTCTTTTAATGAGCCTACACTAAGATAACAAGTGGTGTCAAAGAATCAACTTTCACATAAATAGTTATTAAATACTTTGCAACGCTTGCAATATAATACCTTAATAATGAACACGACAACAAAACCACAAGGACAAACTTGTATTACCCCTTGTAGAAGAAATAAAAAGAGAGAATCACATATTTATAGTAGTATAGTACAGCCAAAGGCAACACTAACTTATTTATGTGCATTATTATTACACTTTAACCTTTAGTTATGGCAAACATAAAAGAAATGTACCACAACGTAATTTCCATCATTTAGGTGTTTTGCCACAATAAAGAGCCTATACACTGTATTCATTTTAATGATACTGCAGTGTCATAATCCATGCCACAACTTGAATATTACACTACCCGTGTCTCATGCCTTTTTGCAATGAGCGCAGTATATTTGCTTAAATTATTCCTTGTGTCACAAATTGTTGTGCAGATAGAAAGCGCCAGAAGAAGTGGAATGGGCGTTTACTTGAATCAGTGGGGAAGACTAAGACAAACGTCGACAGGGTAGCACGCAGGACAAGACTTCTACAAGTCTTAAGAGCCTAGTGAATTTAGGTTCTTCCTATTTAAGCGACATGAACTTATGTTTCAATTAATACAATGAACTTAGGTTTGTTCTTCAGTTCAGGGTGTGGAAACTAAGTGTTTCTCGTGTCGGACTACGTTCCCCCCCTTAAAAAATTGCGTTCAGCTTCTGTTCAAGGAAAAGAACTTTCCGTAATTGTTCGCAATTGTTTTTATTTGTAAAAAATTAATTTAAAATAACGATAAAACATGTGACTTGGTCTAATGTGGGACCAGGATAGAACGTGTTCTTTGCGCGTACTTAAAAGGAGCCCTAGTGACTGTTTCACTAATTTCTTCTAACTAGCGCAAACCTACACCCTCAAAAATTACAATATTTCATTTTCCTACAAGTGAATCATGGATTTTTTGAGGAGGCTCGTTCTTGTATTCCAAGGGAGTCAGCGTAAACTGAGAAGCAGCTTGTCATCCACTGTATATTCTTTGATATGTGAGACCGCTGTTCTCATAAGACAAAACTCCGCGCCGACAATGTCCTCTTCACACTGGCCTGTGTGACCGGCACACGAAAGTACACTTGCGTTAGTATCTACAACTCTGGTTGCCACTTTTTTCGTTTTTAGAATATTGAACACATTTATACTTTGTGGTTTCAGTCTGAGGATACCGCTAATACCGTTTTATGAGATACAGATTATTTTTAACGTTCCATGATTTTGGTAGTTCTGCAACGCCAAAAATAAAATAATCAAAATTGTCATATAGATAAAAAATTACACTAGCAATTTTTTCTCTTTAGTTTTTAGTTTTGGTTTGGTATATGCATGTTTATAAATTTGGGTAGGCAGCACTGCAATCATCATTGACGCTTTCAGAAGATCAGCGTCTATTTGAAAAATAGTTCCAAGACCTGACGTAGCTCTTTGGTAAAATTCTTGATTGCCACGCAGAATACATCGGTTAAATTCTAGTTGTGACCCTAACATATTGTTTGCATTCGTCGGGTCGACGCTACAGATGTCGGGTATTTCTTAACACTCACACGTTATAATTACCCATTGTGTTCTCGTCGTTTCTGGGTAGCTACTAAGTGTCAATCATCTGTAGCACATACCCGCATAATAGCGGCACATACCCGCTCGTGGGTATGTGCCACTGTCTGGTCGGATGTATTTGACGACGTACGCAATGGGATAGTGACATCATTCATGTCTTGACAAGCGCGTCACATCCATCAAACCATCTTACCCTCGCATGATAGTTTTGGTGCACACCAGGTTAAGGGGTAACCACAAAATCATCCAAACGCAAACAGCTAGATAGATAGATAGACGAGATCATCCAAACGTAAACAGATAGATAGATAGATAGATAGATAGATAGATAGATAGATAGATAGATAGATACGCTCAATGTTGCCGAAGTTCACTAAAAATGCTTCGCAGTTAAAATGAGCCCAATCCAGCACCTACTTGAATCAATGGGAGCCATATTCGTTAAGCCAGTGATGTGCAAACAATTGTGATCCAAACAACAAACACGGCCGAATCCAATCTGTTTTATTTGTGTCCTACTTGGTATGCTGTCGTCCTGCCGCTCCGCAATTAGTTTTTTAGATGCGATGCATCTTAGGCCGCGGGCTTCTATTTCTTGTCTTGTAGCATCTATCCCCCCAGTACAAGCGTGTCCTCCCTCTTCTTGCTCTCTAACGCCTCCCCCCCCCTCCTCTCTAGACTCGAAACACCACTGCAGGCAGCGTGATACAGATGCTAGAGTGTTCTAATCTTATTACCTTGCAAATCACTCATTAAAAACTAATGTCGACAGTCCAAAACAAAAACGAATTTCTTTTCGCGCACACAGTACCTGCAAACGAGATAAATTGACGTGCACAGAAAATTGCAGATTTCAAGTTATCGACAGCCCGTATTATAGAGCAGCCCCTTGTGGGTCAATGACCGAGCACCATAACCATTGATCCACTGCAGCAGCCTTGGAATCTATCTACGCCTGTATGATAATACACTTTATGTAAGGCCGCTCATGGTTGGAAAGGGCGCTGTGTTGATCACCTTTTCATGGCTAAGCAAGAGTCACTTGTGAATAGGTGTCGGCGTCAAAACCACGTGACCCTGGGTTTGATTGACCCGGCTACACAAGCCTAATTATATACCTGTATTTCTGTTATCAGAAGAAGTAAGAGATGCTGCAATCAATTAATGAGAATGCAATGAATCAGAACGTTATACGAAGTAAGGCTTGCAGCTGAATTCGTAAGCAACATACCAGGCGTAACTGAACAAAAATGCGAAGAATAGAAAGACGGCCGCTGGAGATGGCGAAGCGTCCTTCGTGCTGTCTATCGCTCGAAAGCCAACCACGCCGTGAGAACCCGGTGCGTAGTCCAAAGCTCCGAGCATTGCGCTGATATGCTAGTTAAAACAGCTCGCGACCACACCTGGCTGCTCAATGTACGCATTTTCTGCCCAATCGGAATATAGGTGCAAAAAATTACTTTTTTGTTTTAAACTTCAAAGTAGGCCCAATGGCGGCATGCGAGAATGTGCTCGTCTCATTTGAATGTTTTCTCCTAAATTACTTACACTTATGTCTAATGCATGCATTCACATAATATAAAACTTTATAACTTTATAACTTATCTTATTCAAATTTTGAGAGAGAGCAAGCTTACAAGGTCGACAATGCACTGACTTCATGTCACAATGTTTACACATTCCACTCATTCACTTACAAATTCTCTGACTAGCGTCTCAGGGCTATAATTGATGGCAAGAAAAAGCTGACTCCACGTGCACAATAACCATGGAGGACCCTAGAATGACAAAGTTCTTTACCTATGCTCACGTTATCTGCTATGCACGAGTAAAGTACTAAGGCATATAGCATTGGCGGTCAAAATTATGGTAGTTTAAATAAGTTTTAAATATCAATCGCAGCCTACAATACATTCGTTGTTCTTAGGCATTTTGCAAACTACAATCGGTGTTATGCAGCCCCGCCATGGTGGTCTAGTGTCTAAAACCCCGGTCATACGGGCACACGCGAACACTATTGAACTCCCTCGTCCTTACGACAATGGAGATTCGGTTCGTGTCACATGGCGACCCTTGCGCAAACGAAGATAAACAGAGCATTTCGCAAAGGAAGTTCGGCGATCTCCTTTTGCAGTGGAACGAGGTACTCCAGTCGCCAATAGTGTGCAGGTCAGAAAAAATGTTCGACCACTTGTTTGCCGCAATGAAAATATTTATGCATTTTGGCAATAATAAACGTTCTTTTGTTAAAGTACTCATTCATAACGCATCTTTATTTACATATATATATGCCCGCCAGAGTGCAGCTACTCTCTCACAAATTCCCTCCATACCGTGCCTCGCGAGTCGCGAGTAAGGCCGAGATATTTCGTCTGTGGGTGCGGTTGTTGTCGTCGCCGTGTTTGCATTGGCTTGTGAGAAGAATGACTGACAACGCTGCATAATCGTCCCCAGCTGAAGACGCAGAATAGTATGCACAACGCAAAATGTCCACTTACAATACAAGGAAACACAAGAACGTTTGTACATGTGCTACAAAACAATGATAGAGATGTCAAGCACGGCCATTTTAGGCACAAGGGGGCCAGTATCGCTGCCAGTATCGCTACATCTAGTGAATGCGTTTTCATTTAAAACAATGTTTATTGCGTTGTTCGCTTGATACCTACTTAATAGCGTCTTTTTGTAGAAACCACGTAACAAATATTCGCAAGAAAAGCGACAAGGGATGAAATCAGGATACTTCTGCGAAATTAAAACAGCGCTGGCTGAGCCCCTCGCGGCAAATATTACAACCTTGTCATTGCCGTGTGACACTTTCAGAACTCTATCTCCGTCGAACTCCATAGGGGAGATTTACGTTGACGGAGTTTAACAGAGTTTGGTGGTAACCATGGGACCGGGGCATCAGGTACTCGGCTGCTGACCCGCAAGTCGTGGGATCGAATCTTGGCTGTGGTGGCTGCATTTTCGATACAGGCGAAAATGCTGTAGGCCCTTGTGCTCAGATTTGAGTGCACGTTAAAGAACCCCCAGGTGGTCAAAATTTCCGGAGCCCTACACTACAGCGTCTCTTATAAACATATGGTGGTTTTGAGACGTTAAACTTCACATATCAATCAATCGATGGGCGTTATGCACCTTTTTTTCCTATAAATCTGCAGAATCACCACTACCATCAAAACAGTCATTCAGTGATGAGCTTAGTTGGAATCTGTAGACAATATCACATCTAGGTGCCGTTTTACACAGCCGCTCATGTGTGAATGCCACCGAATAGATTTGATCAGCACCAGGATATTCTACACAAATCATCGCTATTGTTACGCAGTTATCGTTATCATTCTTGCCTTAGATCCACGCGTGCGATCCATTTTCTCGCTTGCTAAAACAAAAGAGCTCCTGTTTGCGTATGCGTGGACTGTTGACTATTGCGCGCATATTTATGCGTTGATTCAAAGCTCGATACTTGATGCAGCGCGCCTGACCGGAATACTCTGCGGACTGACGGACGCCTCTATATATTGACATGATGCGCCTCTTCTTTCAGGTCGTCCTTCTTCTGCTGGCGACCAGTCTCCTGGAGGCCTGGGCCGGCCAGACTGACAGGTGGCCAATGGCAGGTCAGCCGGACTCACACTGATTGTGGCTGCCTGGCGAGCCGTCGGCAGATGACGGACACTATATTTGCCATTCGAATGCTACTAGTTTTTTTTTATTTTATGAACAGAGAATACTGACAGTTGCAGTTGTAGTCGTCTCGCAGCCAGATTATGCATAGGAAACAGGAAACTAAGCCATAGAAAGACGTCTTTAGCTGCGTACCCAGGAAGTGATCGCGATTTATTTAAACAGAACTTTTCGAGAGCCAGCATCTAGTGGGATGAGGGGCGACTTCAAACCGCGTCCGAAACAGTTAAAAATACATACACATTGCAGTGCGAAACAATCTCGGGATGAAGCGTCGAAGCATCAACCTACTTGTGAATTCCGTTTTTCCTGATAGAACGAGCGATTCTCGTTTCTTAGGAAAACGCACAAGTTAGTGCTGCGAAAACTCGTATGAAGTCAAATGAGAAGAAAAGAAGTAATGCAGTGGTCGGAGTTGAAAAGTTTTCTGCTTAGCACGCAGAGGACTGCTGAATATGTATGTGTGCATAAAACTCGTAGCTTCCCTTAATGGTGTTCTGACGCCAAATCCAGCGGAGATTAGCGACACAATAGTTGTATAGTGGCATTTTCATCGTACAAGACAAACTGTAAGAGAATATTTGTGTGTATTCAAGCAAAACATGAGGTTGTGTGCGAATAATCTAACAGTGCCACTATCTGGAATGATGGTGCATTTAATGTCATTCCAGCGTAACTGGTTACAAAAGTGTCTTCTTACCGACTGTGAACAAGTAAAGTGTTATATGTAAGTCTTGCAGAGGGAGCCACTCTAATTTGACCTTCTTACAGACAATGGCTCTAAATTAGGTGTTCTGAGAAGCGCCAGAGCGTGCTGTTGTTGTCTTGCTTTGGTGCCGTGGTGCTACCATCTCATTCTTACAGGCAATGTGATGCAATTAAAAAACGATGACCAAATAACCGTATGAGCATGGCAAACACCTCTGGCGGACATCTGATAGCGGCGGCCACCCCGGCGGCCGCAGAGGCTCGCAAGTTGCAGCCGTCGCGAGTTCCGCTGGCGCCACGCAACACCATACACCTCACGACCGAGGGCACCGAGACATGAATAGAGCACGCGGTGCTGCCTGTGCAATTAAGGGCGTAATTGTAATTGTTTCGCATGCTGTCCGGGTCAACAGCGCTCACGTAAGATGCTTGTCCGACGCTGCCGCGTAAGTGGAGCAGAATGCAAATCGAGGAAGTGTCGAAATACGACGCGGGCATGCCACAAGCCGCAGGTCGAACCAGAAAGTGCACAATGGATACTGTGTCGTGGGCGAGCGGCCGCCTTTCGCAACCCAAGCGGAGCAGCCGAGACGAGCCAAGTGTCTATTCATGTTTTCTCCGACACTCGGCGGAGTCTTGTCGTATGTACGCTGCCTTCGCGCGTTCTCTATTGAATGCCTTTTGTTCAGCCAGTTATTTTATCTTTCTGTGGTTACCGCTGTGAGCACGGCGTGTAGCACGGGCTAATGAAAGTGCAACGGGACATTTATGAAACGCCACTTCTAACTTGTGCTCTGCGTACGAGGAAATATTTTTATTTATGCTCCCCCCCCCCCCCCCTGACTCGACAGAAAGGCTTACATGAAAGCAGCATATTGGAAAGGAACAAGATTGAAACTTTTTAGAAATTGCGGATGAGAACAGGTGCATTTGTGACCCTAGCTAACGCTTACATGCACAACAGCCAGTCGTACTGTTTTTAAAAGTCTGAAAATCCGTTTATTCGGGAGATATATATATCAATAACACAACAATATCATAATGAAGTTCAATTAACACTTTGTTAGGAAAATTAATTAACCGGAATACACAGATATACCCGACCTGATGAACGGTAGGATGACTGCCGCCTTCGCTCAACTGGTGGAGCATCGGACGCGTTATTCAAGAGTTGCAGGATCGGTCTCAGCCGCTGGCAAGCTATGTTTTGTCCACTTTATTTGTTCACATTTATATGACATTCTCTAGAAATAACATCTGCTATAGTTTCCTTGGCTTGATTGTCTGTTGATGGTCATCTCATTAAAGGTGCATTTAACAAAGAAAATCACCCCTAATGTTCACCTTCTTTCGTTCAATGAACTCCTATTGATAACCGGTAGTAAGACAGCACTTGAAACAAGGTGCAGTGATATGCTGCAGAATAATATTAGGCAGCCTGTAATCCTTTCAATTGATAGACAGAACAGGGCAAGAGATTTTCAAACAGATCTGCCATTAACGTTTATTGAAAATTTCTTTCATCTTGCGCGTTTCCCCGAAACTTTAGCTGCATGTATAATTTTTTTGTCGTAAGCGTGCATATTCATTTGCCGTGAAGCTTTCGCTAACAATCTGTTCATCATTAGCATTTGCTTGAGTAATCCACTACCAATAACTGAATGTGGTCCCTAGTTTTTCCCCTTCTCTTCTCCAGGTCTTTAAATAATCGATTAATTTTGCCTTCCAAGGCCCCAATATATCCGTCCGATTATTTTGGTTGGTTGAGAAACTTTCAAGAAAAAACGTTTCTGTCGCGTTTCATCCCTATAGGCCAGAAGACGTTTCTCATAATGACTCAACTTTCAAACTGAGGCTTCAATTCACTTACACTAGTCCTTGGTGTTTCTGTTTCGTTAACGGCACATTTGATTTCATTAGGCTTAAACACTTTTGAACACTTATGTTCAAGCGATTTTATAAAGTATTTATGTTGCAGTTAAAGAATCATTGTATCAAAGCAAATGACATCAATACCAGCATATTTGCGAAAATTGCTCAATAACTTTTGCAAACCTTATAGCATGCGTAATGTGGGCATTTGGTATACCCATCTCCTTCACCTGTACATTATCATCATTATCATGTGTTGCTCATGCATCCTCATTGTTGTCGCGTAGCATCATCTTGGTTCGTTCATCGTAGCTGTCGGCTGCTGGTTCCTCGGGCCTTATAAAGGTCTTCCTAACCAAGACTTCATACGTGGTGGAGGTGCGGGGTATAGTAAGCTGATACTGATATGGACTTCATAGTAAACTGATAAACGTAGCTGTAAATATTTGCTAGTTGGGACGTAAATGTGAGCTTTTGTATGACCCTAAGCGGGGATTTTTTTTCATTGCTTCAAGAAGCATGAAGGCTTTTGAGTAGATTAAGGTTCCTTTTTTTAATTTCCGTAGTTGTAAATACGCATATGGGCACCATGGTGACATGGTAAATGTACAGACTGAATCAGGACGTTAAAGTTGTGCGACGCGAAAACGTTAACAGGGACTCTCGCATTGGCAGTATATAGGCTGTGAATTCAGGTTCCTCACTACATAATTTATAAAACGTTTATTTCACATTGCCCCCTTCCACTCAACTACCACGCAAGCATATAGTAATATGGACTTATCAGGACGACAATGCCGAGTACAGCGGGAGGCCCAATCACGTGATATCACATAAGTCTGTACCACACAATGCAAATTTCTTAAAAGATACATGCAAATAAGGTGAAAAAAAAACGGGTTTCCAAACAATGCTCCCTAATAAATGTACTTACCGATCTTCAGGAAACCATAATTTAAGCGTTACTCTCAGCGGTGCTTCTTGAGATGTTATTTTAAGAATACCGACCGACTTCATTGCTTAGGCACACAAAACCTCAGTTTTCTCGGTTCGCAAGACTAAAACACAATCAAGAAAAATATAACATGTATTTAAATACAAAAGGCTACTTTTTTAACAAGAACTGCTACATTTCATTATTTTGGTTTGGGTTCCTTGAAGAGCATAACGTGTGGCGTAACACTGCTTCGGACAGAGTTTGCTGCAAAGAAGACTGTACCACGGTGCATGAGTGCATCCCAGCACAAAAGCAATTGTCCATTTTTGTTCAAACCCAACACAAAAGCTTCTACTAGTTGCTACCCTTGCTGAACGTAGTAACTATAATCTTATGTTCAACATGAGTGCATTTCAAGCTCACCAGGAGTAGATAAAGATAATCTGCGTGCGTTTATTAGAAACAGCTGCTTGTTGTAAAGGGATCCGTGCATTGATGACTAGCCCCGTTGAAAGAGTAATCGAGATGTGCTCAAGGTGAAAAAGAAATAATAAAATAAACCAACCATGGTTTATTTTTGCTTTTGGGATAAAATTAAAATGGAGTACTTCAACAGAGCACCTTGTTGAAGTCGCCTGTCACTGCGACGACGTCAAGATTTCAAGATACCCTACACAAGCTTCCTCGATAGCAAAAAGTGAATGTGCGAAAAATAAGGCCGCACAGCCAGCGAGCTCTTAAGCAGCTGATGGTCTCTGTAGACAATGCGTCCATTTCCTGGTCGTTGAGCGTAACAAATCTGTCAATCTGTACAGAGACCTAGGAAGCTTCCTGCGTACTGAGACTCTTCAAACCTCTGAAGCCTCAGAGAGCGCTGTCCGAGTTTCAATGGCTTACATTCTTGATGCTTCATTGTCGTTCACACCTTATGCATACATTCGGCATGCTTCTAACGAAATGCGGTCAAGTAGTGCTTGTCTTCATGGCCTACAAAGTAAGCTGAACCGCAAGGCTCGCAGTTCTTACGGAAGTTGCGTTTATGAAAACTTTATAATTGAACAACAATGACAGTAAATATTTCTGCATAGCGAGATATAGAAAAAAGTCACATCATTGCAGCAAAGGTGAAGCAATGAACGCGATAGCAACAAATTGGAGGGTCACGCATAGAATGGCAAGCAGATCAAAATGATCCCCGCGTTCCTCACGCACAAATGACCCACGAAGCGTACCTACAGGTAGAGATGAACGCGAATAAGCGTCTCAGTTGTTACTTCGGTGTGTCTGAAAACTTTCCGCAAACGGAGACTGTGCAACACTTGCAGTTACGTTTGTGCGCCCGGTAACTACAACAGAATCGTTCCGTTGAAAGTCCAAAGATAGCCAAGACGTACGATCCTCCCCACCGCGATATGAGGGTGCATGAATGAGCGTCCACCCACCTCCTCTCCGCAGGGTGAAGTTCTCGTGGGAGATCAGAGCGCGTGCCGCCGCGTTCTGACGATGTGACGACGCGTGCTCATAGTGCCATCTTGCTGGTAATGCTGAAAACACCATATTCACCCCCCCCCCACCCCCCGAGATGCCAGTCACCAACTGTAAGCGGTAGATATAAATAGCTTGCCATTTAAGGTTGAAGGCAGTGCACGGCGGAGGCTTGGTGGTTAACGCCTCACACTCACTTTTCAGGGGCCCTACGTTCAATTCTGAGTGCCAGAGTCTTTTGATACTTATATATATATATATATATATATATATATATATATATATATATATATATATATATATATATATATATATATATATATATAATATATATATATATATATATATATGTATATATATATATATATATATATATATATATATATATACGGTATGTGACGGCGACGCCGATGGCAGCGGCAAAATCCAGCCGGGAGTGTACACATAGTTGCTATAGCAATAAAAACATTTCGCTGGTGAGACCTTTACCTCGTCCCACGACAGATGCATTAGCTTGTAGAAATATTGAGTGTTATAAGAAGTCAAAATATAGGTTCGTTGCCTTCAAGACATTGTGTAAAAGTTGGGCGCCCGACAAGGCATGTAGTGAGAGATGGCTCGGAGCTTCCCGGCATGCGTCCCGTTTCGTATCAACGAGATCGCCATCTTTTTTATTCATGTCGCGCTGCGTTCTAGAAGATTTATTGATTTCTTTATATGGCATTTAAAAAGGCTTTGGTAGATTTCGCAAGGCAAGTTTTGCCTACAGCCATCTGCTCCAAGGTGTAATGACCCATTATTGTAAATAGCACTCTACTTGGACCTTAATGATATAATAAATTTGTACAACTTGTGGCAAATTTCTACGTACGTGAAAATGGCTTTTTAACAATTCAGAACAAGTAGCTTGAAAAAGTACCTGGTAGTTCATTCCCCAGTTAAATTTTAAAATATTAAGCATTGCAACACAACAAATGTTCGCATGATGTTAAATATTCGGCACTCCGTCTAACCATCAGATGTTCATTCTGCTGCACTGAAGGGTACGGCGACATCAGGCCGCTGTGATAGCTCAGTGGTTAGAGCATCGAACGCGTTATTTGAAGGTTACGGCGACAATTGTTCATTATGACACATTACGTAGTGCATATAATAATATATCTAATATAAGAAATATTCTTTCCTTGCAGAACCTCTGACAAATGGTGCTGCATCTAGCAGCAACGCACAAGGATTTTATGTACTGAGACGGCCACCTCGTTATGACACACCCCAGCAACCGGCAGCACCTGAACCCTTCAGAAGTGGGGCTTCGCTTCGCCAGTGGAGCGACAGCTTTCCAGCGAGTACACAACCGCTCACAACACGTGACCAGTACCACCAGGCAAAAACATCTGCGTCTTCTCCCCAGGTGTCTCAGAATGCACCCGCAGAGCCTAGGTGGAAATACTCTGGCTCTGCCAATGCTTGGCCAACGCAAAATAATGGTAGGAACGGCGAAGGAAGGGCGACAGAGCGATTTGAAGTCAGAAAAACGAATGGTAGGTCACACAGAAAGCCTGCTGAATCGAGCAGATCGACTGCTAGTGCTGGCTGGCCAATGGCTGGCGGACAAAGCAAAAGCAAGCCAAAGAATATACTTGTCATAGATGCAGGGTACACAACCGGTAATATACAAGATTTTCTTAACTCGGGCTGGCCAATGAAGAAACCAAATGGTAATGGTTGGCAAAATGGTGCCAGCAGTGCCAGTGGGTGGCAGGGTGCTAATTCGAATGGGTGGGAAGCAGCAGCCAGTAGCGACGGCTGGCAGACATCAAATAATGATGAGCAGGTATACGCTGTCCAGACAGCAAGCACGGATGACACCGCAGATGTCGAAGCAGACACGAATCCGTTCTTTTCTGGTGCGGGCCCAAGCCATGGAAATGAGCATGCGGTTACGGACAAGCAAGTGTACATAGTGAAGACAATCAGCCATAGCCCAGCGCCAAGTGCGCCTTCAATGGCTCCTGCATGGCCTTCAGATGAGTGGAGCGACGCACCTGCAAAATGGCCTTCGAATGGCTGGAACGGGGGCATGAACATGGCAATGACAATGCAGAATGGTGGTAATGGTGGAATAGGCCAGCAGATTCTTGCTTTACTTGGACAGAAGCAGGAATTTCTATTAAAGACCCTGCCAAGCCTTTTGCCATCTGCACAGCAGTCAGCGCCGTCTGACTGGCCTTCTGGTAACGGAAAACCATCGAAGAAAAACAACCACTGGGAATGACTTGATCCCTGAGCTATAGAAAACGTATTTGAAACACTGTTTCATATACGTAAACGGCTAAGTACGAGGCTTCTCACTGTCAAAGCCGAATCGGAATACGACGCCTGAATGCAAAATAAAGTTCCTCGTGGCATATCTGCCTGATTGTATTCAGAAAACAAAAACATCCGCTGCAGTGCCACCAGGTCTCATATAACACAAACTAGCTTCTGTCATCGAGTCATTAGGAGATTTTTAAAACCTCAATAGAAATATTCGTCCAAGTTCATTCTTGGAACATGACAGCAATGCAGCTATCAGCAATTGTCCTACTTATGTATAACCAAATCTATTGAATAATGCATAATGAAGTTTTAGACCTGATTACCACAATCAAACATTGCTCTCAATCTGTCACTAACACGGTACTATTACCATGCATCTAATAACTTGCGAGTGAGTTGAAATTATGAAGTAATCAAACTGATAGGTAAACCACCAGATGACACGGCAATCTAATGAGCGCAAAGGCCACTTAAAAGCATTTGCTCTCGTATGCTGATTCAGCTCGGCCGGAACCGAACCGTCATAAACTCTCATACATCAAACATCGAGAAGAGAATAATTTTTCACTATTTCGACAGGTATATACGCCGGTAGAGCCCGCAGTCATAAAGAATCTGCGAAGCGTTGTAAGGGGCTTCTTGTGTGCCCATGTAGCTAAAAAATATTTCATAGAAGATAAGCCCACCTAAGGGAAATTAAACAATGAAATAAATAAAATGCGGGTAGAAAAGTGTTGGTTCTGCGGAATGAGTCGCTGCTCTTATAACACTCATTTAGACAGTATTTAAATATGAAAACGCCGATTTTTAATGGCACCATAAACAAGACTTCTGCGTGGCATTCATCGTGGCATAGCCACTCAATTAACTTCGCACATATTAGTGGGACTTGCACCTGAGAGAAGTCGCATGTGCCTGAACGTTTAATGCGGGACGAAAAGCGATAAGTAGAAACGCTGTTGGTTTTTTATTCGCATACTCACTGCTCGCAACAAAAATAATGGCACGTTAGGTAAGCATGGATGAGTAGAAAGTAGTTTATAGGCAGAAGTGCTTATAGACTGCTACGTACAACGAAATAAAGCTAAATATTTCAATTCATCCCCATTTCGCTGGTAAAGTTTCACTATTAAACAAAAAAATTCTCTAAAGTTAACATCCCCTGTTTTGCACGTAATGTCACCAATAAGTGGGAACTTACTCCGTTACTGTGATCTGCGTGTATGCACTGAATTGCGTAATAATATAGTCCAAGAAATACTACCTCCGAATAATCCTCAGGCACCCGTTTCGAAAAGGTGCAGAAGATGACTGCCTGTATGACCCTGGTTATGGAAGGAGCCACACTGCCAAGTAATGAGTAGTTTCCGTCGTATTACAGTGCGTGTAAAGCACTTCGGCACCTACGTACCCTTTCTCTGCCAACTATTGGTCACGTAAGATGCGTTTCAATATTAAAGGGGGCCTGAAACACTTAGAAGTCACCACAAATCATCAAAGTCAGCAAAAAAATGGTTCCTGTTATCTCGACAAATGTCGGAAGACACTAAATAAACAGCCATTGGCTGATTTGAACAAGCCACGCTTGGTTGTTACAGAGATCGCCGCGACTTCTCAACGCGTGCGCACACGATGACACTGCAAAAACCGCACATTAAAAAAAAAGAAAAGAAAAAAAGAAGTGCAAGAGGTCACGAAGTGCACGTAACGCTTTTTTTTTGTTTCCCTGCTATCTCTTCTTGCTTAGCTACCAGCGCTTTAGTCGGGACGAGGAAGAGGGAATGTAATCGCAGCATGTGGAAAGTCTTTGAAACTCCACTCGCACTGGACGGATTATTAAAATTTTTGTGGCGTTGAACTTGTGAGGCAATAAGCTCTTCGAGTGAATTCGTTTCAAAAAGTGCCGCAGGGTCCCTGTAACAAGGTCTTGTAAGACAACCCAAGACAAATAACGAAAAGTGGACCGATTGCAGAAAATTACGCAATTTTTGTTCCTCAGTGTTATGCATTAGTTATGTGGCCCAAGCTCAAATAATATGTCATCCTTGTTTTCAAGCTAATCCACTTAGGCCAACCATCGAGATAAGTAAACAACATAAGCATAATGCTATTTGTTCTCGAATGAAGAAAAAAGAGTTACAGTTGAATCAAGGGCTAATCAATGAATGCAATAGCAGCGAGGTGGAACGTTATACGAAATAAGGCTTGCAGCAAGCTTCTATAGCAACCAACCCGGAGTAACTAGAAAAACGCTGGCGTAAAAAATGTGGCCGCTGCTGCTATCGAAGTGACTCTCGGGCTGTCTATCGCTTCTACGTGAACAGTGGTGAGAACACAAAACGTTGAAATCGATGGGCTGTTCGCTGATGCCCCTGTCACGCTTGAGTGCGCGAGACCGCGCCCAGCTTATCAAAGTACGCAGTTGCCTGAGCCCAGCAACTTCCCACATAATCATGAGCTTTTGCCGTGATAGAAATGACAGTGATACAATGATGTGCAGCGTGTGGTATCGCAATGACAGTTTCAGCCGGTCAGGCCGGTAGCAATGAGAACAAACTGAACGGCGGCAATAAATAATCAAGAACACCGATTAAACACAAGGTGTGCATGGTTATTAAGGCGCAAACCTTAGATGCCTCATGAAGTGCGACAGTTTACGATCGATGGCGTTCGCATCCTGAGCCGTCGGTGTCAACAGGAGGAATGAAAAATGTCTACACGTTATTACGTCGTCATATGACACCCTCTTGAAGTAATATAGCGTCATCCCAGACCATCAGAATTTGTGACGCCATCATGACGTCACCACACGACATCGTCGCAGTACAGAAAGCTTGCAATGCCTTCGATCTTGGAGGCAGCAGAAAACCATGTTACGTGCAGGAAGCTTTCGGACGGGGGTGCGGAAAAAGGTCAATAGATAGACCGCGAAGAAAAATAGGATGGCTTTTAGTTTCGAGTGGTTGTAGAATAATGCATAAAGTATCGTGGCAGTTTTTCTCTGACAAGGACCTGCAATACACAGAATTGAGAACTCTCCTACGGGCTAAAACTGAATAGTGATCTTGATCTGTATGGATTCTATTTCTGCAGAGCTCTGTACGCAAACAAAAAACCAAAAGTCAGCAGTATTGACGCTTGAAATGCAAGTAAGAATATAATCCGACTGTGAGTAACATTTACCAGGTGAACAAAAGATGAAGTATTCGGTCCCTGATTTGGTCGGGGAGCACATACATTTTCAAAAAAAAAGTAAATACACTGCATGCACTCCCTGTATTAAAAAATGGCCAAAAGTTTGAACGTAAAGCAACGTTAAGAAATCGCCACTGATTTACGTACCGTGAAAAGGCAAATTATTTGTAAGCATTTGTTCCACAATTTACTCACAAACTAGCACGTATACAGAAACTTAGTATGCCAACATATCTTTCAGCCCTGTAGAAAACAGAAAGCACGTGAACTTTATTCAATTATTTCAAGACCATATGATCCTTTAAAAACGCCTCTTTCACGTGTTTTCGTTGTGAAGCTCACCTCAAGAATGTAAATGTAAGTGTGACAGAGCGGCACGAGTTGACGCTCTATCCTTCCCTTCGGCAGTGAGGCGAGAGAGCAGCGAGATGTCGGGTCGGAGAAGGTACCGGCGAAAATTCGTTTAGCCCAGCGTTTCTGAAACAGCGTGTCGTACTTACCTTGCAGATGGCAAGATGTCCAGAAAGGAGTTGTGTAGTGAGCTGTGAAGTTGAAACAAGAAAAAAATAGTAAGAGAGCGTTTCCTTAAACTATTTTCTGCATATTAGTCTCCATTGTGGAGGAGCTCTTCAAAAAACAAAAAAACAAAAAAAATAAACGGGGGTTTTTGACGTGCTGAACAAACACAAGGGCACAAGGAAGTTCTAACGCAATGTACAGCCCTCGCACTTCGTCACTTGTTTGAAGTGAAGGGCGAGGCTCAAGTTATTCCAAGAGTATGCACCTTTTTTCTCCGAACTCTACCCATCATTTAGACTGTAAAAGCTTTCTCGTAGTTTGTGCCTTTCACAAGCGATGTACTGAAAGAGACTTCCACTTAGGACGAAACGATACACGGGAATACAAAGCTGTGCCAGTTTTCATGTTGTTTTTATGCGGGATACTGTGTAATAGGGCATATGACAAGACGTGTGTAGTTTTTTGTCATCTATTGCTGTGTAATGTGCTATTTATAGAAATCGATATAATGTACCTATCTAACCAGTAATTTTAGGAACAAATGTAATGCGTTCATCTGGCAAGAAACCGTTTCAGTCTGCCCTTTCAGCCGAAGCCAGTAATGCCTAAGTCATTAAAAGCCTAGTTGAGGGCGAAGAGTTAAAGTAAGCATGCAAATACATGGCGCCGCCAAGCATAAACAATAAAAAGAAGAAATTACCAAACAAAAAGCTCAATCGTAATAAATAAGTGAAAATGTTTAAAAACAGATTTGCTTCGACTAGAACTCAACATCTCTAGTGCAGTTACCAATGCGGGAACAATTACGCTATTGACGAACTGTTTTTCGAGGAATTCATTGCAATCCATAATATTAAGCTATCAGAACTGGCATGAATCAGTGTTTATAAGACGAGGCGTCATAAGCACATGCAAAAAATCTAGCCAACAAAACACTTGAAGGCAAAAATAATATTCACGATACAATTGCAGCGAAAGTTTTTAAAAACGTGTTGTTCTAAAAGGCTCGTAGGCATAAGGGCCTCACCAGAACACTGGACAACTCCGTTTTATGTCGGTGATTATATGCACTAGCTGAATAGTCTTTCAAATAAAATACATTCTTCATTAAAGAGCACGTTCGGCTTTGCTGTTTTCCACACGCTCTTTCGAGAAACCATTCGTTCGCAAAAGAAAAAAAAAAAACATCAGACAGCCCTTCAAAGTGGTATTTGTAAAAGGTAACATGTAATCTAAGAATCAGCAGTAAAACCTTTCGTTAGAGCTGACAGGAGGATATCTGTGAACAGAACGCTTTCTTCGTACTTGACGAAACAATGTTCACTAGTCTCCTGCGGGCGACACAGATGGATGTGAACAAGATAAGCAAAAATAC